GATTAAATGAACAAATCCACAAGGGCCGTGACGAGGATTCGAACCAATAACATAGATTATTGTAGGTTGTTACTTTATACGCAGATACTTGTTTCATGTAAAGTAAAAGTAAAGTAAATTTTATTCAGGAAAGTACATACATAGTTGATTTACAAACATAATGTTGGATTTATAGATAGAGCTAGTACATACAATACCTAAAGCCACTAGTACGCATAGCGTTTCGGGCTATGTGTAAAATGTGTCTATGTGCAAAATGTGTCTATTTTTGGCTTCTTTGTACTATATTACTGCAGACTAGATATAAATATATGAATGCAAGAATTTTATAGCTGCGTTATCAGTCAGCACCCTCACCCAACACAAAATATTTCAAAATAAAGTTACTCCCAAAAATGCATATGAAAACCTCTCAACAGATAATAAATGAAAACTGCAAAACAATGACAATAAAGTGAACAAATCAGAATGTTTATAATAATTCTATATAATAATTTTATATATAATAATGTTTATAATAGTACAATCTTAAAATGAGATAATATACATGTTCCTTATTAATAGCTCGGTGGATAGAGCTTCGACCTCACACACATGGGGTTCAAGGTTCGAGTCTCCTACAACCCAGGTGATTGGAAGACATGTTCCTGCTTCTGGCTACTACTGTTGTTCTGGAGTCCACGTGTTCGTCCTAGACAAGTTACCACTCAAAGATTCTCCCTTAATGATACTGGAGCTGCATCTCTTTATTTGCATATCATTTAATCTTAAAAAAGGTTAATATTTGATTAATTAAGGCGGACTGTTTGCAGTTAAAATAGACACAACGTCGCCCAGAGGAGCAGACGTTATCATGTGATATATTCCAGCAAGACACGCTATCGTCAAGGTCGGTATCAAGCCCTTTATCAAGAGCCAATATCAAGGTCTAACTTTTGGGTACAAATAATATAATGTTTATTTTCCTAATAAGTTAATCTTTCCCAGTGTTGTTATCGTAGTTTTAATGAAGGAAGAAAACCAAATCATTCTGAGTTTCATTCAAAGAAAGCAATGCATTTGTTTTTACAGAATATTTGCTCACTCTGAGGAAACAGCTATGAGACTGAGATACGAGAGGTACAAGACATTGTGGTAATGTAAGATAGTTTCGAGCGTGAAACGTAAGTGTTTTCCTCAAGAGTTCCCCCCCCCCCCACCCCACCTGCCATAACTCAACTACGCCAAAGAAACAAAGCATTTAGGAGGCTCTAAGACAACATTAAATACTTCTAAGAGAAGCGGCATTTATCCAGGGGGGTTCTCAAACAGGTTTCCTTATCCCTTGTGCTCTCTCTAATGTGTATGTGCTCCAAGTTTGCGCCAGTGTGTATAGGTGTACCAAGCTTGCGCCAGTGTGTATAGGTGTACCAAGCTTGCGCCAGTGTGTATAGGTGTACCAAGGGTGTATTAGTGTGTATGTGCTCCTTGGTTCCTGCCCGGAAGGTGAGGAGCTGCAAGGGATCCACAACCTTTCATCGTATTCACCAACGTATATATATATATATGTCACCCTAGAACATATACATACTAGAGAGGGCATCAGGGGGTAAGTGGACTCCCATCTTTGATCCCCTGATATTCACTGACAGTTGACTGGAGTTCCTGCGGGATGCAATAGACAGTTCCTAAACATATCCATCTACATTGGTATTGCTCTTTCTATATACTTAAGAAAGGAATGGAAGTTATAAATGTATACAGAGACCAGTCCGTGTGGAGGTTGGCCGGACGCCCACACGACCCCCGTCCAAATATTCTCTAACGCTGGAAAGAGAGCGTCGTTGTGCTGCATATTGTATTACAGGTGTGTTCAATTATGTTTACGTCCCTCGTGACATGGCTGGCCTCACCGGCCACCCACAAAGGAAATCAATAATGCTCCTCTGTACCAGGTGTATTGGAAGGCTTGCGGTTAACGTGTTCACGTGTGTGTGTGTGTGTGTGTGTGTGTGTGTGTGTGTGTGTGTGTGTGTGTGTGTGTGTGTGTGTGTGTGTGTGTGTGTGTGTGTGTGTGTGTGTGTGTGTGTGTGTGTGTGTGTGTGTGTGTGTGTGTGTGTGTGTGTGTGTGTGTGTGTGTGTGTGTGTGTTTGTGTGCTCACCAATATGCACTCATGTGCGTTTAAGGCAAGCATGTGCTCTTGGGCCTCTTCGCCTCTTAGCTTCTGTTTCGTAGTGAGGCTCTCGATCCTCTTTCTTTATCATAGCTGTGATTGGAATTGGCCTCAGTTGCTTCTCTGAGTGGCTGATTATACTTGTTCATTACATGTGTGTGTGCGTGCGTGCGGGCGGGCACACACAAACACACACACACCGGTTGATTGACAGTTGAGAGGCGGGACCAAAGAGCCAGAGCTCAACCCCCGCAAGCACAACTAGGTGAGTATACACACACAAGAATGAGGGGAAACGATGAACAGCGAGACTCGACCTAGTCTTCACTCTGAACGACTCCGACATAAGGGAAATCGACTTCGAGGCCGCAGTAGGAATGAGCGACCACAGTGTACTGACGTTTTGAGTATCTGCTCGAAGACTGGTTAATGTTCTCAAGAAAGGGACCTGAAAACAAAAGGCTGGCATTCCGAAAGGGAAACTATGTGGAGATAAGAACATTTCTTACAGATATAACATGGGAAACAGAACTCAGGGGAAAGACGGCCCAAGACATGATGGAATATATCACGCAGAAATGTAAGGAGGCAACAGACAAGTTTATCCCGGTCCAAAATGAAAAAATGAAATGCAGATGAGAAACCCATGTTTTAATCAGAGATGTTAGCTAGCAAAGCAACCAAGTACAAGGGCGTGGAGAAACTATAGAAATAACAGGACATTTGAGTCAAAGGAGAATACCAGAATGCCAGGAATGAATACGTCTGGCTGAGAAGGGAGGCAGAAGGGCAATACGAAAACAACATAGCAAGCAAGACAAAGACTCAACCTAAGCTGCTGCACAGCCACATCAGGAGAAAAACAACAGGGAAAGAATAGGTAATAAAACTGAGGAGAGAAGCTGAATGATTCACTACAAACGACAAGGAAGTGTGCGAAGAACTCAATAAGAAATTCTAGGAGGTCTTCACATTAGAGCAAGGAGAAGTTCCAGAGATAAGAGAAGGAATAGTTAACCAGGCACCACTAGACCAGTTCGATTACCAGTGGGGGTGTAAGGAAACTTTTGCTAGAGTTGGATGTAACAAAGGCTATAGGTCCCGGATGGAATATCACCATGGATACTAAAGGAAGGAGCAGAAGCACGGTGCCTGCCACTCTACATGGTGTATAACAAATCATTGATAACAGGTGAACTGCCAAAGGAATTATATAGAACCTTGTATACCACATATGTAAGACCAATCCTGGAGTATGCGGGCCCCAGCACGGAGCCCGTACCTTGTCAAGCACAAGACGAAGCTGGAAAAAGTTTAGAGGTATGCCACTAGACTAGTCCCAGAACTAAGAGGCATGAGTTATGAGGAATGTCTGCGTGAGCTGCACCTCACATCGCTGGAAGACAGAAGAGCTCGGCAAGACATGATCATCACTTACAACATTCTCAGGGGAATTGACAGGGTAGACGAGGATGGGTTATTTAACACGGGTGGCACACGCACAAGACAACACAGGTGGAAGCTGAGTATCCAAATGAGCCACAGAGACGTTAGAAAGAACTTTTTTTAGCGTCAGAGTAGTTAGTAAATGGAATGCATTAGGAAGTGATGTGGTGGAGGCTGACTCCATACACAGTTTCAAGTGCAGATAAGATGGAGCCTGAAAAGCTCAGGAATCTGTACACCAGTTGATTGACGGTTGAGAGGCGGGACCAAAGAGCCAGAGCTCAACCACCGCAAGCACATCTAGGTGAGTACACACACACACACACACACACACACACACACACACACACACACACACACACACACACACACACACACACACACACACACACACATGTAATGATTAATGCTCGATATAATTTTCCCCGATGATTATATTTTACACGATCATGACAAACTTCGTTTGTTTTCACGAAATGCCATTTGCAACCGCTGTTGCATCATTTTCAGCGAAGTACCTTCGATTTGACTTTATCAGAGCGACCAAACTGTTACTGTGCATCCTGACATCCTCCCCCGCTGGTGTCTGCTGCCTGACTGCCGCTTTGGTGTCCTGGATTCTCGATTCCAATTGGTTCCCGCAAGTCGCTGGTGTGTGCTTATTGGTGGCTGGACCCAAATTGCTCGTTAATGGTTAATAGTCCTAATGTTCATATATCTAATTTATGATATGCTGGTACCCGCTGTGTGATATACTATATGCCAGAACCCGCTCACTGTTATACTAGTTCTCCAGGCTAAGGTATACTAGCAGTATTTACAATAGTTCTAAGCATAACTCTAATAGAGGTGAATAGAGGTCATTAGGTCAGATGACCTGAGAGTGCGCTCTGTTAGACCAGCAGCGCCATAGATGCTAATGATCCCAAAGCAGCCTACCATTCATACGGCATGGAGGAACCGTGCCCAATCGTTTTACCTTGCCTTGAGGGATTCGATCACACGTTCTCATATTTGCGAAGCGAGTGTCCTTACCAGCTGAACTACTGGGTGTCACGCACACAAGAATAATGTGAGTCACTTTATATCATCCAAACATACACTTGCATGAGAACGGCCACAGGTGGTCTTGTACAATTACGAACGCGTTCGTAATCATATAAGGAGACTGCAATATTGCCAACACATCGACCCGGTAAAACAAATAATAAACACATCACCGCGAACGATAACGGCCCGTAACTGCGGTCTGATTTTACGCTCGTCTATTTTTCCTATCTCCAAAATATTTTTAATTCCCAACTCACTAGGACAGTGGCGCGCCGCGAGCTCCCTCGCATGGTTGTTAGACAGGCACTGATGCGTGCCCCGGGCCTTCGACCTGATGGATGCCCCGGGTCTTCAACCTGATGGATGCCCCGGGCCTTCGACCTGATGGGTGCCCCGGGCCTTCGACCTGATGGGTGCCCCGGGTCTTCGACCTGATGGATGCCCCGGGTCTTCGACCTGATGGATGCCCCGGGTCTTCGACCTGATGGATGCCCCGGGCCTTCGACCTGATGGATGCCCCGGGTCTTCAACCTGATGGATGCCCGGGCCTTCGACCTGATGGGTGCCCCGGGCCTTCGACCTGATGGGTGCCCCGGGTCTTCGACCTGATGGATGCCCCGGGTCTTCGACCTGATGGATGCCCCGGGTCTTCGACCTGATGGATGCCCCGGGTCTTCGACCTGATGGGTGCCCCGGGCCTTCGACCTGATGGATGCCCCGGGTCTTCGACCTGATGGATGCCCCGGGCCTTCGACCTGATGGATGCCCCGGGTCTTCGACCTGATGGATGCCCCGGGCCTTCGACCTGATGGATGCCCCGGGCCTTCGACCTGATGGATGCCCCGGGCCTTCGACCTGATGGATGCCCCGGGTCTTCGACCTGATGGATGCCCCGGGTCTTCGACCTGATGGATGCCCCGGGTCTTCGACCTGATGGATGCCCCGGGCCTTCGACCTAATGCGTGCCCCGGGCCTTCGACCTAATGCGTGCCCCGGGCCTTCGACCTCGGGGCCAGCCAAAGGAAAGAGACGGGACATCAAGCACAATTATTCGCTCAGTTCACAACCGCTGAAGCTGCGTGGTATTGGATCAGTCAATATGTGAAGTGGAATGTGATTTTTACAGCTGCGGAGCTCACAGTACGATGGACTTGTGTGTGCTTGTATCTATGTGTGTGTGTGTGTGTGTGTGTGTGTGTGTGTGTGTGTGTGTGTGTGTGTAATAATTTCATATTTATTCATTGCCTGGAAAGAATTCATAATTCCTGTTTTTTGTTCTCAAGCCTTACGGTGTATGTGTACGCAAATACACATATACACACACACACAAGGCTGCGGGAAATGCACCTTACGACACTGGAAGACGGAAGAGTATGGGGAGACATGATCACAACCTACAAAATCCTCAGGGGAATCGACCGGATAAACAAGGATAAACTATTCAACAATGGTGGGACGCGAACAAGGGGACACAGGTGGAAACTGAGTACCCACATGAGCCACAGAGACGTTAGAAGGAACTTTTTCAGTGTCAGAGTAGTTAACGGATGGAATGCAGCACAATGTGTTCTGAAATTCAGATACATGACCTACGAGTACAAATGAAAGTCTCCGGTCATGCCCAAATGGGAAGACCGAAGATAAATATGACAGGCCTCGTAAAAGTTTGTGAACGTACACGATAAAAAGAGGAAGGAAAGAATTTCTGAGAGCCGAAAAAATCTGAGGTAGAGGTGATAGTTATAAACTCTAAGACTAGGCGTGAAAGATATAGAACGGGGAAGAACTTTTTCACCAACAGACCTGCAGAAGAGCGGAGTAAACTCGAGGTGTTGGGTGTGTGTTGAGATCACTGGAAGTTATAAATTATATATAATACTGACTGTACCCGGACACGCGTTGCTGTGGCTCAGCAACCCTCCCCTGTCCCCTCCATCATCCCTACCATTCCCACTTTCCTGTCCCCTCGTCCTTCCAATCATTCCCCAATCTCCCGTCCCCTCGTCCTCCCCACCATTCCCCACTCCCTCGTCCAATGCATTCCCAAATGATCTGATGTTCCCATCAGAAAAATGGGGACATCAAATGATCTGTCCCATCCGAAAAATGGGTACATCAAATGATCTGTCCCATCAGAAAAATGGGAACATCAAATGATCTTATGTTCCCATCACTGAAAATTAAGAACAGTTAAAAAAACGAAATGAAAAACAATTAAAAAAACTATACTCACAAAATGAAGGGTATGGTAAACAACACAGCTCAATTCCAACGCAATGTCATGCAAAATAATTAAATTTAAATGAAAATAAATAGAAATCTATGAAAATTTAATTTATCAATGCAACTGGAAACATTGAAATGGAATCATAACATATTTAGTATAGCGTGTGTTGCTTCTATGTGCTACAGATGCCGCTGTTTAAAAAAAAACTTTTTACCTGTCACAGGTGTGTCATATATATTGCAGGTATATAAAAACACGCACAAATTCGAATGGAACGTTGTGTCAAAATTAGTACATGGTAAGTACACACACACACATACAAGGGAGCATTACAGTGTGAAGAGGGGACAAGAGCATCGGTGTATACGTAAGGCAGAACATACAACGAAAGCAGCCTGGAGTTAATACAACGCAATGTATTACAACCCTGATCCATGCAAGACAAGACCATTATACTTCAGATTTCACTAAGCTTATTACCGGAAACTTGTGTCAACAATCTCTGCTGCTTATAGAGAGCTGGAAAACATCCTTAAGGAACCTGGATAGCATCTCACGTATGTGAGACCTGTGCTGTCGAATGCAGCAATAGCAATGACCCTTCACATAATAAATCACAAACAAACAAAAAGTAAAATTTATATGGGTCCTTCATAATGGCGATGCCGGTAATAAGAGAAATGATAAATTATACCAGTTAGACCCGAGTTGGATTTCCAAGCAAAGGGAGACGCTTAAATATGTTTCTTTACACCTAATGTACCTATTCACCTAGCACTAAATAATTACCGGGAGTTATATTCATTATGAATGTAATTCAAGTTCAAAATTGTAACGTATCCATAATTCCTTGTAATGCATTATGGATACATCAATTCTGTCTTCGACAAAGGGGGGGGGGACCACACATAAAGTGGAATAGGTGAAAACCAGCATACGGAGAGTGAATCTGGAATCCAAGACGAGTCTGAGGAACGCTAGGAAGCATTCCTTTAGCCTAACGGCTTTAAGCCGAATTAATTAGAAAATGAGGAAACAGAGGGTGCCACCCCAACCTCTCTTCACGAATCATACACCGGATTTTGACGTCAAAATCCCCCCCAACAGGACAAAATATGATGTACTATAAATCACGACGTCTCGCAAACATTCACGTTTTCTGTGTGTGGGTTCATCGGTTAGGTTAAATTCGGGCAGCTTAGTACATCAATTTCTGCACGTTGTGACTGCTGGAGAGGACGGGTTGAACACCCATGGTTTGCGAGGGGTTGAGGGACGAAGCCGGAGTCTAGCCCCGGCAAAACTGTGTTCCGTTGTTCACACAGTACTGTGCAAGCGTCTTGTTGTTCAGAGCACGGTGCAGGGCGTCTTATGGTTCACACAGTACTGTGCAAGCGTCTCGTTGTTCAGAGCACGGTGCAGGGCGTCTTATGGTTCACACAGTACTGTGGAGTCTCGTTGTTCCCTCAATATCGTCCATGTGTGTGTTCTCCATCACAGCAAAACGACTGTTTCACTCCAGTGCTGTGGAAAAACACCTGATGTTTTTACAGCAAAATGTTTCTGACTGCCCTAAAACTTTGGCTGAACTTCAAGAGCTTTCCAAGTGGGAGTTGTAGTGAAGCCTTTATAACAAGCACCAGTTGGAGGCTGCAGGCTGGAGGAGTATATATATATATATATATATATATATATATATATATATATATATATATATATATATATATATATATATATATATATATATATATATATATATATATATATATTATATATATATAATATTATTATAATATATATATATATATATATATATAACATATAATAATATATATATATATATATATATATATATATATATATATATATATATATATATATATATATATATATATATATATATATATATATATATATATATATTCTAGCAGATTTGACTAGCAGACAGAGATTAATATTATAATATTAAGAACAAAATTACTAAGTTTTGTAGTTTATGAACAAGAATTTTATTATGTAAGATATGTAAGGTAAACATTATTGAATGTGAGAGAAAGGCTGAGATCAGTGAGTCTTGCGCAAATCTTCTCTATTCTTCTTACGCTTTTCTTCACTTGAGAAGGAAGTTTAAAAATTAACTCTCCAAACTTTTAAGTTAACGATTTTATTTGGCCTGAGGGTAAGAGATGTGTTTTGTAGACTCTTGTTAACATTGTCAAAGGCAGAGTCCGAATACAAACTGTTTCCTGCTGCTGGATATATGTAGGTGAGGTATAGGTGAAGCAACTCACATATAGGACAATAGGTCCATTTCCCCTTATGTTTTCAAGATACCTGGGACAGTATACTGTGCGCTCCGTCATATTTTCGAAATTCGAGACCAGACCACACACTAGAAAATGAAGGGACGACGACGACGTTTCGGTCCGTCCTGAACCATTCTCAAGTCGACATTCTCAAACGTCGTCGTCCCTTCACTTTCTAAGTGTGTGGTCTGGTCAACATACTTCAGCCACGTTATTGTGACTCATCGCCTGCAAGTTCGAGACATTTCTTAATTTGGGCTGTCGCCGACTAACCTATGACTCTCCCCTGCCGAACATGATTCACTCTGGAGAGTTGTGTGAGACTATCCACAAGCATCTGGCCTTCAACCTCAGACAACACTCAAGAATTCAGATTGTGTTTTCCTTGTCAGTTTTATCTTCTTATCAAAGATGGAGAGAATCAATAACAGGATGAGCCGAGGACCTGCCATTTCTCCTCCACTTTTTCTGGAGAATGTCTCCGTGCGCTGAAGGGCCTTTAATTAGCTCAGTTTGAGTGACACGCGACTCAAACACACAGTTAAGGAGACAATTTATAACATGGGGATTGCAAGATGTTTTTTTGGTGTCCTCATTTCCTTACTGCTGTGGACTGAGAACCCTGGCACTGACGGTGTCTGGTCTGTCTGTCTATCAAAGAAGGATAATGGAGATAGAGAATAGAGATAAAGATAGAGAATAGAGATGGAGAATAGAGATAAAGATAGAAAATGGAGATAAAAATAGAGAATAGAGATAAAGATAGAGAATAGAGATAAAGAATAGCGATAAAGATAGAAAATGGAGATAAAAATAGAGAATAGAGATAAAAATAAATAGAGATAAAGATAGAGAATAGAGATAAAGATTGAAAATAGAGATAAAGATAGAAAATGGAGAAAAAAATAGAGAATAGAGATAAAGATAGAGAATAGATATAAAGATAGAGATAAATATAGTATAAAGATAGAGAAGAAAGATAAGAAAGACTAAGAAGATAAGGATGATAAAGATAGAGAAGCATAGGGTGATGAAGGTTGACAGCTCATCAGGAGCTGACCCGAGCAGCGAGGGCCACTGTCATGATTTAATTAACCACTTAAGGCAAAATGACTTAATACAGGACCCTGGTGCAGGGGGGGGGGGGGGGGGAAGGGGTCTCAATACACCCATGAACGACAGGGAATACACCGCCTGGTCGTCCTCTGTATGGCTCGAACAACAGGTGTGTGCGTGTGTGGGTGGGTGCGTGTGTGGGTGGGTGTGTGCGTGTGTGTCTAGTTAAAAATTGGTGGTGTATAGCAAAGGCAATTGAAGTAAAATATAACAAAATAAATACTGATTCTCAACACAAGGTGGTTGTCTAAGGCTCAAGTCAATATAGTTGACAGCCACGATTGATGGTTGTGTGTTTTGCACACCAACTGCCTACCAATCTTCCTGAGGAGCACTATCATCACCAGCTGGATTCAGGATTGGAAGGACTGTTAGACATTACGGAACTG